CTCCTTTGTTGCCTTGGCCGTGTGTTTTGGGTCATTGTCATGCTGGAATACCCATCCACGATCCATTTTCAATGCCTTGGCTGAGGGAAGGAGGTTCTCACCCAAGATTTTACGGTACATGGCCCCGTCCATCGTCCCTTTGATGCGGTGAAGTTGTCCTGTCCCCTTAGCAGAAAAACACCCCCAAAGCATAATGTTTCCACCTCCATGTTTGACGGTGGGGATGGTGTTCTTGGGGTCATAGGCAGCATTCCTCCTCCTCCAAACACGGCGAGTTGAGTTGATGCCAAAGAGCTCCATTTTGGTCTCATCTGACCACAACACTTTCACCCAGTTGTCCTCTGAATCATTCAGATGTTCATTGGCAAACTTCAGACGGGCATGTATATGTGCTTTCTTGAGCATGGGGACCTTGTGGGCGCTGTAGGATTTCAGTCCTTCACGGTGTAGTGTGTTACCAATTGTTTTCTTGGTGACTATGGTCCCAGCTGCCTTGAGATCATTAACAAGATCCTCCAGTGTAGTTCTGGGCTGATTCCTCACCGTTCTCATGATCATTGGAACTCCACGAGGTGAGATCTTGCATGGAGCCTCAGGCCGAGGGAGATTGACAGTTCTTTTGTGTTTCTTCCATTTGCGAATAATCTCACCAACTGTTGTCACCTTCTCAATAAACTGCTTGGAAATGGTCTTGTAGCCCATTCCAGCCTTGTGTAGGTCTACAATCTTGTCCCTGACATCCTTGGAGAGCACTTTAGTCTTGGCCATGGTGGAGAGTTTGGAATCTGATTTATTGATTGCTTCTGTGGACAGGTGTCTTTTATACAGGAAACAAGCTGAGATTAGGAGCACTCCTTTTAAGAGTGTGTTCCTAATCTCAGCTCGTTACCTGTATAAAAGACACCTGGGAGCCAGAAATCTTTCTGATTGAGAGGGGGTCAAATACTTATTTCCCTCATTAAAATGCAAATCAATTCATACAATTTTTGACATGCGCTTTTCTGGATTTGGTTGTTGTTATTCTGTCTCTCACTGTTCAAATAAACCTACTATTAAAATTATAGACTGATCATTTCTTTGTCAGTGGGCAAACGTACAAAATCAGCAGGGGATCAAATACTTTTTTCCCTCACTGTAGCTAAATGTCACGTGCCTACTCCAGTCTACCAGTGACCCGGAAAATATTCAGTCAGAAATTAATTTCCTGCTTTGCGCAAAAATGCATGATTTTTATATAAAATGTACACAAGACCAAGATCCCCCGTATAGCCTTAATAGACTTTTAGGCCAAGTGCTTTTCATGAGCACCTATGAAGGCCAGTACCAGACCTGGCCACATTTGTCTCCCTAGTGACGATATTTACACACCGCACCACATTTAAACTGTTTAAACAAATTTTGTTTAATCAAATAAGGCCCACTGAGCTATATAGCTCGTTTTCAGAAGCGACCTGGCCACAAATGATAGATAAACAAAGTGGCTTATCATGTGGAAATGTATAGCAGCCAAATATTCTATTTAGTTTATACATAGCACCATGTACTCATTTTAGGCTGAGTCTCCGTAGGGGAGGCCCAGGACGGGTTCAGATAATCATCACTGGTGTTGGCCATGAGCGGCAATCGAACTTGGGTCGCCAGGTTTGTAGCGCAACGTGCTAATCGCTCCTCCCAATAAGTATACACACGTGCAAAACATCAAGTTAATAAAATTAAAATAAATCACATAATAGTTATTTATCTTTAATGCCTAAGGTGACAACTGAGGTTCAGTGTCGCCTGGCAGCCCGTCATTGGCCAACCTACAATGCTGCATGTCCCTGGCGAATCTAAATTAAATCATTCCAATTTTATACTAAACCTATCAACAACAATGATCATCATGAGTATTGTGGTGGCATCAATTTGACTTTGGTCACGGTGACATCTCAATCATTCCATTGTGTTTTTAAATTCTACGCCTGCAAATTGCACGAAAAAAATCAACTTTTATATGCTTTATTAACTGATTTATCCACATCAACATTCCTCGTAACGAGCACACGGCCGCCGATCAAACCTCGCAACAACCACCGCTTGTTACGTTTTTTGTTTGTTTTAAAGCACGTACGCTGCGTTTCGCGGGAAGATGGATTTCCCCGGACTCTACCGCATTATCTCTCCGCTAGTTCCTACGCCACTCTAGCTGTCTTCCCAGCACGTGGAGGCGAGTCCATTTGTCTGCCCCATCACGGCGCGGAAAAGACCCAAGAACGGGGGTGGGGGGGGGGCCGTTTTCAGCACATGGCACCTGCCAAACTCGAGCGAGCCAAGAAAACAAACTGACAAAGGCTCCCCGAGCCGATCCATCTCTGTCAGGCGCCCAGTGAAAGGGCGCGCCGCGCAGAAAAACCGCGACAGGAGCGACGCGCATTGTGTTTTCACTACAAGCCATTAACTCGGAACAAGGCGGCGAGCGTACGAGTCACGGATTGACGGTGGCCGTCGATGAGAAGATGTATGTGGCGTGCGTGCGGCCCATTTTTAATCGGTCCCCGCTCGGCCATCGAGACTCGTTCGGGCAGCCATTACTCAAAGCGTTAATTCTTCAAGTTCACCTCGTGCATAGAAAACGGCGCCAAGGCGCCATTAAAATGAGGCGTCACCCCACTCATGCGGCGTGTCTTAATTTTTAATTCGCATTGCGTCAAAACGTGTGCGTATTGTATAAGATTAAACACTTAAATACCGTAATCTTTTGAGTTCATGGTTTAAAGGACACGATTTTATGGTGTATAAGACGTACTTTTCTGCCCCCTATATTTAAGGCAAAAGTCAGGGGCGAATGTTATAATCTGGTACGTGTGTGTACGTGCGTGGCCAGATGCGTAGAGGCTAATTGACACCAGGCACAAGTTTGGTGTGCATACTACTCTTTAGAGCGTCTAATCATCCGGAGATTACGATGATAAAATGCTATATTGTAAAGTAGGTCTGATTTATTGAAATATCGACTACTCTTTCATTTTCAATGCCTTGGTATTAAGTTATGTTTAATGCGCATGATTAACAGTGCTTTAAACTAATGGAATAACTCAGAAGGGTGATAACTTGCAAATACATCCAAAGAAACAGTTACATTAAATATAAATAAAACACTGTACCACCTTGCTATTGGGGAGTGAATATCAACAAACACGAACGCACGCTTCTATTCTTCATGCACCTCCTTTGAAAACAACTCAACACTCGCCAGAGCTCTGACGGACAACATTTCTGACCTCGCATGCAGCCCCCCCCCCCCGCCATTGTGAGCGGCCTTGTGCAAATATTTGGAAATTGTTTTTCTCCTTTCAAATCGAATGGAGGGGGTGGGGTGGGGTGGGGGGGACGACAACGACGACACTTCCCTGAATCAACAGGGCTAACACCCAGCAGCCAGCTACCCCGTTGCTGTCACAACAAGCGAGTGACAGCTCTTTGCTGCCACCTGCGCAATCGACGACACAGGCTGGGCTGGCCGTGCGCGAGGAAAAAAAACTCACCGGAGAACGCACGCGGCGCGGACACGTGACGATGACAGATATATATCCTTTTTTTTTTGGCGCTTGCGAAGATTTTGTTTGTTCTACCATATTCCGATTTCAGAGCGCGCGCGGTCCACAGCACCTGCATTTGTGCTTCATCTTGCGACTGAGTGACATCACAGGGTTTATCGCTGATATTCACTTCCCAGAAGGCGAAATATTTTTTGCGAAATTACCTGCGGGCAGTCCCCTGGGTGTTTACGCCAATCAAAATCACAGGCTCTGTGCAAGCCGGCCAAACAGAAAATTAGGCCACAAACAGCCTCAAGATATGAACCATAATTATCACTGGAACTAAATAAAAGGGTATGATAACTACACGATGAATAATAATTTACAGCCCTTTGTTAATCCATGCTATGTTGGTCATGGAGGTTGTTTGAGCATACTTCACTACTCTGGTCAGTGCGCTGGCCTAGAATTGAACTCAAGTCACCGGGTTCATAGTGCAGTGCGCTAACTACTGAGCCGCAATTTCACCCCGGGATGCAATTAATATCAAAGTCAATAATAAACAAGATCATGTGGAATGATTTAAAGTACCATTGGATTGCACAGACAATATACATTTAACGGATAATAAACCAAACCTAATGCTACAATGTATGTCTTGAAATTTTAAATGAAAAACATCTACTTCTGTGACTTAATGTTGTGTATTAACGTGATATGTCTCTGCAATGCTTAAAATTCCAATCCTGCATGGCATTTGGACCCTTTTTATCTTTGGCGAATGTATTGCTTTCGTCTCAAGGTGGCTTCGCTTGCATTTAAATAAAGGATACATAGCGAATAAGGATATGATGATTCACACCTCAAGAAATTCGATGAACGGCTAAAATTCGGAGTCACTTCAAAAATGTATTGGTAACATTTCTACCGCCTTGTTTGTATAATTCAGCATTACTTTTAATGTCTCCTTTCATAGTTTTGTTCACACCATTCGCCTAATTCCAACATCGGTCAACGACTTGGATATTGTTTTGATGATTTATAAACGGCTGATTCTCACGCGCAACTTTCAGCGTGTGTGCCACTACTTGCCTCGGTCATTGAAACTCACCGCCGAGTACTCGGCAACTGAACGACCGAAGCTACTCCACACTCTGCTATTTTGAGCTCTGCGATTACAATCATATAACATCCTCCCGGCGGTTACATTTACAACCCTATCCGTCCATCGTGGTCTCCATCTACCTCTTCCTCTTTCCTTACGCTTTACCAACCGTGACGCATGCTACCCGGGTATTCGCCATCATCACGCCAGGCTAGGAGTCCAAAACACTTCAGTGTCCCTCTTTCTATCACATGCTTAGTTCACACTCACGCACCTACCCACCCACAGCACAGTCGAAAGGCTAAGACACTTCTCCAGCGAGAGGAAGCGCAAGGCTGAGGGGGGAGGGTGGGGGGAGTATGGGCTGGGTGACTCACTTGTCTCAGGTCGATGAACGCCAGCTGGAGGGTGTCTCCCTGCAGTCCTGGCACTGGCTCGGAGCTGGCAAACACTGTGGGAACCACAGGGACAAACCTGTGTGTGAGACACACCGCCGCAGCAACACACCCACACGGTCGGCACGGGCGACCTTGAGCACCACGACCGGCCACTGGTTCAAACGCCGCTTGCGAATTCCCTCTTCGCGCGATTGGACCGGTACAATGCACGTGTACGTGTGTGTGTGTGTGCGCGTGTGTGTGTGTGTGCATACATTTTCCATCAAATGTGCAGTGAGATGCAACAAAAGTTTGTTATTTGGCATTTTGCTCTCTGCTGAAGTTCAACGGTTTTTGCGTGTGCATTTCCACGCTTTATAAGTGAACATTGGATATTGAAGATTAAATAAAATAAAAAAACATCAAGGACTTGTGTTGACATGGCTGTAAAAGTACGAACATATGTTTATAAATAAACAAAATAAAAATTCTACATTTTCATTATTCATATCGATCTGCCCCTACTGGACATCTGTGAAAAAGAGCTTCACAGCTCATCGGATTCCTCCAGTCTAAATAAAGAGTGTGAGTCAGATATCAACTGCGACCGAAACATATATTGCAGGCTTATGCTTGTAGGACAGGTGAATAAGAATGACATCGGTTTTGCCGTTTTCATTTTTTTTGTTTATCATCATTATGATGATGATGATCATTATCATCATCATCAGCCAATGCCTATCCACAGCTGGGTGAAGGCCTCGGGGCAAGCAGTCACCACATCCCCAGTGAAGACGCGAGATTAAACAATGAATCCAACTCCCGCACACGAGCCGATTTCATCGTTCCATCTCCGCAGCAGACGTGCTCTCGGGGTGGCGTCCACTCCTTGAGACCGCCGGGACACCGCTCCTTCCGATCCCCAAGTTCCACCCGAGCCAACGTGCTTTTGTTAACGGACAATTCGACGACGTCGCTGACTTGCGCCTGCTGCTCGAGACATACGCGTGCCCTCGCCCTTTCTCCATCGTACATTCCAAGGCTCGAATGTATTTTTCCGAGTGCTTTTTAGTTTCCCCCCCCCCCCCGTGTTTTATTTGAGTGTCCATGTTTTCGATCCATGTACCAGTTCGAATGTTTCCTCGTTGAGGCTCAATAGGTTGCTTCCGATAAACAAATTTAACTTGCCAAACTCACTTCGACCTGCTTTGTACTGCCTCTTAGTTTCATTCTTTTGATTCTCTCCACTGTATTTTGTTGCGTTTTTCAGATATGCCTCTCCAACAATTATTTTATTTTACTTTGGGAACTTATTTTATTTGTGCAATCACATTGCAGAAAAGACAAATAAATATCAGATATCGTGTAAACGTCTGGCTTTTGCAGACTATGAAAATGCTTTTGATTCTGTGGAAAGTCATGCAGTAATCCAGGCTCTCAAAAATACGCAAAAGTTATCAAATCACTTTACAAAGGTGAAATATCTACACTGAGATTCTATGTAGAAAATAAAGACTAAAGCTAGAAGCGAAGTCAACGAAAGAGATACACTTCTCACTGTGACTATTCAGTTATACGAGCATATACATAAATCTAAATGGAAAAAAAAACATTAAACACCACGGATTTTTTTATGATTGAGTCATTATAACCACAAAATGTAAATTAACTATGGAAAACGATGCATTAACTTAAGGAAGAAGTCTGCAAAAAGGTGAGTTAAAAATAAGTAGAAGCGACTCAAAAGTATGCATAATTTATCATGTCAGCCATGGTCAACTACTGCACTGCAGGATGAAGGCCTCACCAAATCATAAGATATCGCAAAACGTATTCGTGACATAAATGCAGTCATTTGCATATATGATTATTACTCGTATATACACCAGCACTCACATGCATATACACACACGTGTATTTGTGTTAAATGACAAGACTTGTACGCCAAATTACACGGCATACGAATGAAACGTTGCCAAACGATCACTCCCTGCTGGGTCACGTGCCGTTGCCCTCTAAGGCAAAATGAGATCAGCGACAAGCACACGGGGGCGGCGCCTGCCACCGCCGCCGCCCCAACGCCCCGGCTGAAATGGAGCGCGGATGCCAGCGCGCGCCAGCCAGGGGCTCAGCGCAGAGAGCTCAGCAGCCGGACAGGTGCTGGCTTTGTGCGACTGGAATGTAGACGCGGATTGGAGGTGCGGAGCACAGGGGTTGGTGGAGGTCAAGGGGGTCACATGGGCCGGGATTAGGCCACGGGGAGATGGAGGAGAGAGCGCGCAGGCAGGAGGGTTTGGGACAGACGGGGCGAGGGTCGCGCGAGGGAGCATTATGCACGATAAACTACTAATGTGCGTGTGTCTATGCGCGCGCACTTGAGCGCGTGTATATATATACACACACGTGCACACATACAATTAACTGTCATAAAGTTTTGAGAATGGAATATTAACGTGGCATTAAACTCGCATGCATGATTATTTATGTATTCATGAACATGACTATAATTACTATTACATACGCTAATATTGTATGACTAATTGATACCATGTCAAACTACAGAAAAAATATTTTTTAACATTTTACTTGCATTTCATTCGTTTAAACATTTGATTACCTCTCCTGAAAACCAGCGTGTAAATAACGTGTGTGTGTGTGTAAATAGAGCTGTACTGTAACGATGTTCTCACATCTACACTTCCCATCTTCAGCGAGCGGCACTGACCAACGTGGTGACGTATGATCAATTAAACCCCCATGATCCACACAGCACGGAGAGGCCTGGGTTCAACGGTTCAATACAAGTATACGTACATCTTTTTAAACGAAAACTAAACTCCTAAATTACGTTTCTTTTGTACCAGGTAAGACTTACCTTTGTTTATAACGAGGTAAGAGCCCAACGACAACATCCATGAGCAGGTGGGTGGCCAGCACTATGCCCGGTCGACCTTTTGTCTACCTTCTCGTGATGTTTATACACCGCACCAGGTACTCATTTGAGGCTTTGCATCAACCTAAGGGAGGCCCAGGACCGGTTCAGATAATCATCACTGGTGTTGGTGACCATGAGCGGGAATCAAACTCGGGTCGCCGGGTTTGTAGCGCAGCGCGCTAACCGCTACACTACCTGCTGTCTACGTGCACACAAAACAAAGACAACTTTCCCCCGTAAAGCCTTTAACAGACCGTTGGGGCAGGTGCTATTAGCGAACACCTATGAAGGCTGGCACGGAACACGAGGGGGTGGGTGGCCAATAGTACGCCCGGCCGCCTTTGTCTCCCCAGTGGCGATGTTTACACATCGCACCAGGTACTCATTTGAGGCCGAGTCGACGTTGGGGAGGCTGCGCGAACATATACACAGATACACATGCGCGCGCAGTGGTCAAAAACGTCTATCGCTGCGCGTGTTCACTTTGCTGCCCACTTACACCAAGCGAGGAACAGCTGCTGTTCGCTTTTACAAAGCGCCCGCATCAGGCGTATCGGATATAACCTAAAGTGCAATGATTGATTGTATTCCTCGCAATGCAAATTCAATCCGCCCACCGCACTTTGACGCGGGCGTTCTGGAAAGTCCGGCTCGTTCTGGCGGGGTGGCAGGAATGCGAGCGCCCGCATTGAAGCGAGCGAAACGCTCGCTGTAGCGACGCTACAGGCAGAGAGAGAGAGCTGAAAAGTGGGTCCGTTAATTACTTACTAAAACTAAATATTTTTTATGTTACCAGGTACTGCCCACTGAGCTGCATAGCTCTTTTTCCAGAAGCGATCTGGTGACAAGTGATAGCTCAACGAACATTTCAGCACCTCTTTTATTGCCAGAAAGGGTAAAAGCCTATTCTTATATTTTTCATCAACGAAGTGGATTATCACGTGGAAATTGAAAGCATCCAAATACTATTAAACGCAAGTTGATTCTAAATGTGGAGGGGAAAACCGGAGCACACGGAGAAAAATCCACGCGACCACGGGGAGAATGTGCAAACTCCAAATGTACAGGCGTCAGAGTCGGGATCGAACCCACAACCTCCTGTATACCAGGCGAGATGGAAAATAAATTGATGAACGCCGTTCCCCCTCCTGTGCAAAGATGACTGCAAGATCTAAACGAGAGCAAGCTCACTTGGCGATGGTAAGACAGATGAATGCGTTAAGATTTTTGGGGTGCGCGCACGGAATGCAACTCGTTTGGAGCGGATTGATGGACACTGTATGAACAACTCAAAGCGAGTATATTGTGTGAGAAAACCCACTATAAGGGGAAAATGGGTGCAGGCTGGAAACGCACTTGATATAAATTAAACAAAATTATTTTTAACTCCTATCAGGTAAAGCCCACTGAGATACATAGCTCTTTTCAGAAGCGACCTGGCCACAAATGATAGCTCAACAAATTGGCTTATCACGTGGAAATTTAAAGCAACCAAATACTCAACAACACACAAGAGGTGTGCTGCTGCTCACAATGAGCAGGGAGGCGCGGAAACTCCCATCATATGATCGCCACGTTACATGTAGAATGCTCTCAGTCTTGTCTAGACCACCAACTAAAAGAGTAGAAAAAAATCGACCATCGCAAGAGGCAGCAGTGAAACAAAAACAACTGCATAATGGTTTTGTCCTCGTGAGAACTCATCAGTGCAGTAGTAATCAATGTCACTCTATGCCTCTGGCAGCCCATATGTGGAGAGCTTATCTCTACACTGCTGGGTCGCACATGAGCACTTTCCTTAAGGTAACGATAAATCAAACCCCACACTTTTCATAAACAATGAGACAAACCGCAAGCTAAATAAACACATCTCTTCATGTAATTCATAAGAAAAAAGTTATTACAGCAAAATACTTCATTATTAAATTTGCTATTATTATATTTCGTGGTCAAAGCCTGAATTAGCTGGAAAGATATAACTTGAATTACATTGTAATGCATTTCCAGTGTTGCCGTAATGACTAAATAAATACACCTTTCACATCTAATAAAACTAAACATTGTCAGCATTTTATACACGTGTGTGCCGATTTATCTCAGCAAAAGGGAAAAAAATACTTCCAGCAAACATGTGGCTGA